GACGTCATTTTCAATGAAAATGTGATGTACAAAGACAGGTCAACCGCAGAATCAAGTAATACCGAGGCTGAAACAAAGGAATTTGCTGAGTTCGAGGAGATTTCTGAAATGATGTTCAGATCAGTCCTGAAGCAGTTCAAGAGGAAGAACCAGGCACACCAGAACTGAGACGCTCCTCCAGAATTCCTAAACCAACCCAACGGTATTCACCTTCTTTACACTACTTGTTGCTGACTGACAATGGTGAACCAGAGTGTTATGATGAAGCAATGCAAGTGGAGGATTCAGTCAAGTGGGAGTCTTCCATGAAAGATGAGATGGACTCGCTTATGTCAAATCAGACGTGGGAATTAGCTGAATTACCACCAGGCAAGAGAGCGCTCCATAACAAGTGGATTTACAGGATCAAAGAAGAGCACGATGGGAGCAAACGTTACAAAGCAAGATTGGTTGTCAAAGGCTTTCAGCAAAAAGAAGGTATTGATTACAATGAAATTTTCTCTCCAGTCGTGAAACTGTCTACAATCAGACTGGTGTTGAAAATTGTAGCTGCAGAAAATTTACATCTTGAGCAGTTAGATGTAAAGACAGCTTTCCTTCATGGTGATTTGGAGGAAGAAATCTATATGAGGCAGCCAGAAGGCTTCATAGAGGCAGGCAAGAAAAACCTGGTATGCAGGTTGAAGAAGAGCTTGTATGGTTTAAAACAAGCTCCTAGACAGTGGTACAAGAAGTTCGATAGTTTCATGGGTAGCAGTGGTTTTACCAGATGCCAAGCAGATCATTGTTGCTACATCAAGAGGTTCGACAACAGCTTCATTATTTTATTATTGTACGTTGATGACATGCTCGTTGCAGGCTCAGACATGCAAGAGATTATACACTTGAAGCAAAAATTGTCGAAGCAGTTTGCTATGAAGGATCTGGGCGCTGCAAAGCAGATTCTTGGGATGAGGATCAAGAGAGACACAAAGTCGGAGACTTTGATGTTATCACAGGCTGAGTACATCAACAAAGTACTCTCCAGGTTCAACATGCAAGATGTTAAACCAGTAAGTACACCTTTAGGTGTTCATTTCAGACTCTCCAAAGAACAGTCACCAAAGACGGAGGAAGAACGTGCACACATGGTGAAGGTGCCGTATGCCTCAGCAATTGGAAGTCTGATGTATGCCATGGTTTGTACCAGACCAGATATTGCTCAAGCAGTGGGAGCTGTTAGCAGGTACATGAATAATCCAGGCAAAATACACTGGGAAGCAGTTAAATGGATCCTCAGATATCTGCGAGGTACCACAAACAAAGCACTTTGTTTCAAAGGTGGAGATACGATACTGACAGGCTATGTAGATGCTGACTTAGCTGGAAATGTTGACATCAGAAGAAGCACTACAGGGTATGTCTATACTCTAGGAGGAACCGCAGTGAGTTGGGTTTCTCAACTACAGAAGATAGTTGCTCTCTCTACAACCGAAGCAGAATATGTCGCTGTTACGGAAGCCAGCAAAGAGATGGTCTGGCTCCAGAGTTTCTTGAATGAGTTAGGCAAGAAACAAGAAAACAATGTCTTGTATTGCGACAGTCAAAGTGCTATCCATCTAGCGAAGAATCCGTCTTTTCATTCCAGGACGAAGCACATACAATTGCGATATCATTTTATCCGGTCTCTTCTGGAAGATGGGATTTTGAAACTTGAAAAGATCAGTGGAGCTCAAAATCCAGCAGACATGTTAACAAAGACGGTAACTACGGACAAACTGAAGTTGTGTTCAGCTTCAGTTGGCATGCTAGAATAAAAGACCAGAAATACTGCTGCATCGATCGAGGTGTGAAGACAGATTGAAATCAGTCTTCAAGTGGGAGATTGTTGAAAATTAAAGAACAAGTTGGGCTGCTAAGTAGCAGCCGGCTGCTAAAACAAATTGGGGAGGGGGGCTGCCCAAAATATTTTTATTTTTAATTACAATATTAGTCCCTAAGTTTTAACTATAAATACCCTAGCTCATTTAGCTTCAAAATCATCCCAAAATCTTCTAGTTCTCTCTCAAGTGTGTTGTGTAAACACCTGTAAATTTTCTCTTAGTAAAAGATCTGCAGCAGCCCGGAGACGTAAGCATAAATTGGCTGAACTCCGTTATCAAATTTCGGGTATTATTTTTCCGCTTTTATTTCGCATTCTCACTAATCTGGTTATAGGGAAATTACTTGTACTTGGTTTATTTCCTAACAGTGACAAGATACCGAAAACAAAGTAGTCCAGGCTCTTGTTGGGCACATATTCATATACTAGTATCTTTTCTTCTCCTTCCAAGCAAAATCCCAATAGTCTCACCGGATTTCTATGTTGAAGCTTAGCTACCAATACGACTTCGTTTTTAAATTCCTCTGCACCTTGTCCTGAACCTCTTGATAACCTTTTAACGGCTATCTCTTGTTTGTTAGGAAGAATACCCTGAGAATATAAAAACCAGTAACGTGGAGTTGAATCGAGTTTTAAAATTTTTGGATCATTTTGAGTTTAAATTGTTTAGGTTTGAGGCTCGACTTTTCAGGTTGAGTCATTATTGATTTAGATCAAATCATTTATTTGTTTCATATCAATTTAGGTTCAGTTTAGTTTCGAATTCAGATCAATTACAATTTGGATTAATGGATTCATGTTGTTAGGTTCAAGTTAGAATACAAAGGAAGTAAACAATACCTTGTAAACCACACCAAAACCACCTTCGCCTAATTATCACAATCCATGCTTGACAAATCCGGTGTACACTGGCCGAGGGTGTACAGATTTAGAGCACTTCAAAAATTGGCCTCTTCCTTTCGAGTCGCAATTTTTTTAGCACCCGGCGGTGATGCGTTCGCGGCCTCGGTTGCTGTTTCATTGATCACCGCTTGCAATTGCCGATTGAAACGGTTCAGGTCGGTGACATTTTGAGTGTTGGCCTAGGTAAATGTAGGAGCTTCAGCCACACGGGAAAATATATTTTGATTCGAGTACCGTAGGAGGCACTCGTCGTACCAAACCACCGCCGTTATTTAAACGGGACAACGTTGAGAAACGTCATCGACTGCAAAGGTGACACACACTCGGCAGACGGTGGAAGATAAAACCCCACGGGCCGTACACCTTGTCAGCACCACCGCCCGAGGTTGTGTTGTAGAAACCATTTCCAACGGCTGCCATTAGACGACAGCTAAGACAATAAACTATCGCGGTTGGCTCGGTAGGTGCTGTTTAAGGGGAAAGTGGTGGTGTTGGGACAAACGTGGTTTCAGTTGCAGGGCTGAGCAAGGAAATGACTGTTATTAACAACAACAGGGTGATCAAGTCTGTGAAGATACCCATTTTTTTTTCACTTACCAAGAAAAAAAGTATCTTTATTTCAGCTTGGAATATCATGAACAAGTGAAAATTATGAGTTTATATGGGTGGTTTGTGTTCGCCATTGAAGGTTAGTGAAAATAATATACATTGTGATATATCTTTAGTGATCGTAAATGTTTATCAATACAAGAGAATTGATTTATCATTCATCAACAAAATAACTAAATAAACATCAATTAGAAGTAATAAAAAAGAATTTTTTTTATAAAATTAGAGAAAACTGTAGGAAAAGAACATTCTCTATTCTTATTAAAAAGAAAAAAGTAATCCGAAAATTCAAATATACTAAAAAAATTTAAATATATTGAAAAAAAAGAGATAATATGGTTAGCTAAACTCCAACACGCCACCCTTTTGGGCAAACAAAAGAGAAACGGATAAAGTAGGCAAATCGTCCCTCAATTATATATTTTTTTATTGAATTCTTCGACTATTAAAAGTTACAAAATAATCATTTTATTATAGAGTGTTGCTTTGTTGAGTCCCCCAATTATTCATATATTCCAAATTCATCATTTTAAGTTAAAATTGACAGTACTCTGAGCTATACGTTAACATATTGACTGAAATATGTTAAAATTTATTCTAGAATCTCAAACGACTATGATATCTCAGTCAACATGTTAACTTTCAGCTCAGACGATCATCAATTTTTTTTTATCAAAAAAAGACGAGTTTGGAACATATAAATAGTCGAGTGACAATTTTTCTAAATTTCAATAGTCGAAGGACTCAATAAAATAACATTATATAGTCAACTGACCATTTTATAATTTTTAATAATCGAGACTTACCAAAACAATATCCTATAATCGAGAAATCATTTGTGTACTTTATCCGAGAAAAAAATAGGAAGATAATCCCCATCACGTTTGCTGGAAGAAATATGTGCAGAATTTAAGACATTTGAATAATGTGGTTTAGTTTCCATGGTGACCTTTTAACGCATAGCCAACCTAGCTGCCTTAATTGGATTATGGCGTGCATTACTGTACGAGTTTTAATTTCTAGATATATACTTTTCTAAAAAAATTATATATATATATTATTCTTTGAAATTTAATTGGTTTATTTTATTATAAAATGTTTTTTCAATAAAACCTAAATTCTGTGTTGAATTTTCGTGACAGAGAAATTATGGTTTACAACATAAGTTTGCTAAACTGATCGAATTTGCTTTTGTTATACAAATCCGAAAGAGTAATTAAATTTTTATATTTTATTGTTAGAATTTATAGTTTATATTTTATTTAATTTGGTTTTAAAAAATTGCAGTACAACCTGTTTGATAAAAAAAACAAAATTAAAAGAAAAAAAATGAAGATTTATATTTAGAAACTCTCATTAGTTTTTTTTATATTAAAAACATGAATTTATATTGAGATTAGGGTTATTTATTAAGTCTTAGAAACCCATTTTTTTATAATGATTTTTTTTCTTATTTCCTGTGATTTTATATTCTTTGAGTGCTTTTCAAAGTAAACATATTGGTCTCATTTGTATTTTTTTATCGTTATTCTTTATATAACTCGTAACATTTATAAAATATAAATCGATGTAAATTCAAAGTTTCTTTACTTATTAAGGTTAATATTCAGAAATTGATTAAAAGTTGTTCAGATGCATTGCATTTATTGGATTTTGGTTGGCCAGAATGCTTAAAACAAGGATCAATCAACGAGGCGAGAAATTTGAAATAGTGACCTCATTAACCGAGCAGGCTCCATCATTTGAAATTGGTTCTGAAACCACACGTCCAACCGAAAATGCAGGTTCAGTTGGATTAGGAAGTGTGATAGTACCATCGCTTGCCAACATGTAAATCACAGATGACATGGTTGGCCTATCTGCTGGATCTTCTTGCACGCACAATAACGCAATATGAATGCATTTAAGCACCTCGGAAGCCACACACGACGGAACAAGTAGCTGATCTATTAACTCCATTCCGTCACCTTTGGACCATAGCTTCCATACCTACAATTTCAGAGCTTAAACTTATAACAACAGCTTGCATATTTTATCTGTATATAGTTTGAAGACAGAATTGAAGATGAAAAACATACAAAAATCAGCAGGCTTTCACCATTTTCTGAAAGATGAAAAGTGTTGTTCTTTTTTCCGCTGATTATCTCTAGCAGAAGGACTCCGAAACTGAAAACATCGGATTTGATCGAAAAGAGTCCTTGCATTGCGTATTCGGGTGCCATGTACCCGCTGTTTTGGTTCACAAGAAACAATGAGATTAGAAGAAAGATTAAAACAAAATCAGATTATAAACATATGTGGACTTACTATGTTCCAACTACTCTATTGGTATTTGCTTCGTTTTTATCTTCAAAAATTCTTGCCATGCCGAAATCTGAAATCTTGGGATTCATTTCATGATCAAGCAGAACATTGCTTGCTTTAAGGTCTCTGTGTATAATTCTAAGACGAGAATCTTCATGTAGATACATGATACCTCGAGCAATTCCTTTAATAATGTTGAATCGTTTCTGCCAATCTAATTGCACAGCAAAGTTGGAATCTGATATAAATGTGAGAAAACAAATGAATACATGTACATTATTTCTTTTACTTGTTAGGGTGTTGAATTAGTTAAAGGTTCAAGGATCAAACCGAAGAGGAAGACGTCCAAGCTTTTGTTGGGCATGAATTCATATACAAGCAGCTTTTCATTCTTCTCCAAGCAACACCCCAAGAGCCTCACAAGATTTCTATGTTGTAATCTAGCGATTAACATGACTTCATTCTGGAACTCGACGATCCCTTGACCTGAAGTTCGTGACAGCCTTTTAACTGCAATTACTTTACCATCTGGTAGTATCCCCTGGCAGAATTCATTCATGTATGTAACATATGAAAATTCAAATGCAAATTGCAAAATTCACATAGATCAATTATAAAATTACCTTGTAGACAGGACCAAATCCACCCTCGCCTAGCCTGTTTTCACGAGAAAAGTAATTTGTTGCTGCAAGTAAGATATCCAGTTGAATAGAAGGAAACTCTTGAGATCTCTCCCCATTTTCTCCACTGAAAGTTTCCCTTGAGTACTCATTGGGAATTCTTCCCTCTACCATGTCAAGAAACTGACCTCCTTGGCTATTTTCTGTATCCTCTAATGAAATCAAACTGTGATCGGCCAAAGACTATAAATTGACTTGTAATGCTCGTCAGACAACTTACTCCATTGCTTACCTCGATTGTTTCTCCTCCTCCAGATGATGAAACCAGAGAGAGAAATCACAAGTAACGCAAACGTAGCTGATAAAGTTGCAACGAGAACCCGAGTCCGGTTTGATTCGCTTTGATTCTCTTCTGCTGATTAAATAAGGAGAGAATCAGATATTCTCCATCCAGTTCATCGTATTTTACTAAAGATTCATATTTGTCTATCTTTAACTTGATTAATTTACTAAGGATTTAAAAACAGAATATGAAAGAATCTTCTTTTCCTTTTTCATGAACTATACAATTCTAAAAAAGGAAAGAACCAAAATTTATCAATGAACAGTGAGGATAAACCTGGTGTTCGAGGAGGTGGGGCTGCAACTGGTGTTTGATAATAGAACGGGTAAGTTTCATATCTGATGTTGCAGCTAGGACTCAACAGTCTTCCTCCTCGTCTTCCGGTTGGAAGATTTCTTCTTGCGAATTGCAGACATCCACGGCAATCCGTGCCTGATAAGTCCGGTGTACACTGCTGAAGGATGTACAGTGTCTGATTTCTCGAAATTTGGGTATCATTAGCAGCAAATTTTTTAGCACCTGGTGGTTCATTTTCCGACTGGATTGACATACTATTCATAGCAACCAGCACCGAAGCCGCCAATAACTCGTTGAAATAGTCTTGATCAGTTATATTTTGCGTGTTATACATGTAAACTGTAGGGCTTACAGCCAATACGGAGAATATATTTTGATTCGAGTATCGTAGGAGGCACTCGTCGTACCAGACCACCGCCGTTGTTTCAACAGGACAAAGTCGAGATATATCGGTGGCGGCAGTGGCGACGCACTGTTGGCAGACGCTGGTAGAAAAATCTCCGCGACAGAGGAAAAGGCCGTATACCATGGCAGGGCTCCTGCCTGATGTAGTGTTATAGAAACCATCTCCACGGGAACCATTAGAAGACAGTGATGATAATAAGCTATCGCGATTGACCTGGTAGGCGCTGTTTAAGGAGAAAGTGCTGGTGTTTGGACATACGTGGTAGAGATAAGTAGGATGCTGAGCTTCAGTTGTACGGCTAAGCAAAGAAAGGACTATCACTAACAGGTTTACTGAAACTGTAGAAATATGCATAATTCTTTTCATATAATATATAAAAAAGTGATCACCTTCTTTGGTCGTGAATCCTCAAACAAGATAAACCAGCTATGTAATTCTAGATAGGGTGGTTTTAGAAGGGGCAACAGTTTTCGCCATTGCAGAAGACTCGTTGATCCTTACAAAAATCTCAGTCAAGCCATTTAATTTTCTACAAGGAAGAAGACTTGGTCACACAATGAGTGGATGGGAACAACAGTTGCTACGTAAACAGACAACTGCCAATCAATTTCGTTGGAAAAATGCGTAGAATTTAAGACATTTTGAATAACGTGCGTTATTTGTCTTGCTTACCTTTTAATGCATGGCCAACCAGCAGACTGCCATCGTTCTCATTTGACTTGGCATGCGTACAAAATTTCCAGATATATACTGTTCTTTGAAAGTTTTTTTTCCTCTAAAATGATAACCTTTGAGAACTGTCTAAATAGCTGAAAATTATTTTTTAAATGAACAAATTCGTATGGAATACCTGAATTGGCATAATAAAATTGTGCAACACTTACACCCTTTTAAATTTTTTAAATGTTTGTAGTAAACATACATTAATGCTATGTATGAATAATGAATGAATATTGTGTTGTCATTTTTAAGATGTGTAATGTAACAATGTATAAATTGAGTTTTGATGTCCCATGACAGTATATGTATGAATGATTTATAGTAACCTTAACATTCTTTTAATAATTCTTATCTAATAGGAAGGGAAGAAGAATATTGGTTTCAATGAGTATTAAACTCACAATCTAGAGGGAAATGGGAAGTCAATTAAAATTTTTTAATCATCTACTTTAGAGATTATTGATAATAAATTTAAGGGTAAAGTATAGTAATGGTCATTGAATTTTTTTTAAAACTTTCATTTAGGTCCCTCAACTTTTAAAAATTATAATATAATCCCCCAACATTTAGTCCGTTTGCAATATGATCCCTCAACATTTAGTTCATTTACAATATGATCCCTAAATGAAAGTTTTAGAAAAATTCAGTGACCATTACAATACTTTACCCTAAATTTAATATTAATATTTAAATTATGAGAAATCATAATATTAATTATAAATACTTTATGATAATATAAAAGTAAATGACGACAAATTAAGTATATAATAATTTTATAATTTAAGTTATGATTATAAGTATAAGATTGTATCAAGTTGAGATGTCATCTGATTGCACATATTTGAATAAGTTAAAGCAATCACATCTAAATTATGGGGGAAAAAAGTGCATCAATTAATGATAAAGAAAATAACTTCAGTGATCGAAAATGACTTATAATATACGATTTTAATAATTTTTTTTGGATTTGTAAAAATAACCAACAAAATCGCAACGCGAACTCCAATTTTGCAACGCAGTTTCCAAATTCGCAACGCAAATTTCGCAATGCTAATTACCGATATAGGTAAATACAACTATTCACAACGAGAATTTCGTTTTCGCAATGCGAATTTCGCAAATCGAATTCGCCAATTTCGTAACTAAATGACCGGTATAGGTAAAAACGGTAGAAAAAATCTGAATTCGCCAATTTGAAAACTGAGTTGCGAATTTGGCAAATTCGTGTTGCGAAATGTAAAATCTCGCCTCTTAAAGAAAAAATCATTTCGATAGTTCGTTTGTTTGGTTAAAGTTAAACGAACGAACGAACATGAACATACCCTTGTTCGTGTTTTTTCAATTCATTTACAGGCGTAGGTTTAGCTAAGTGATTCATACGTGGACTTAGCAACTGGGATGTCCCATGTTGAAAACCACTCCAGTGCATTTTATGTCCTTTAATTTTTTTCTTTAAGATGCGAGATTTTACATTTCGCAACACGAATTTGCCAAATTCGCAACTCAGTTTTCAAATTGTCGAATTCTGATTTTTTATCGGATTTTTTCTACTGTGTTTACCTATATCGGTAATTGAGTTACGAATTCGCGTTGCGAAAACGAAATTCGCGTTGCCAATAGTTGTGTTTACCTATATCGGTAATTAGCGTTGCGAAATTTTCCAAATTCGCAACCTGTGTCACAAAATAGGAGTTTGCGTTGTGAATTTGTTGGTTATTTTTACAAATCCAAAAAAAATTGATTAAAATTGTATATTATAAAATATTTCCGGTCACTGAAGTTATTTTCTCTTAATGGTATTTAAAAATAAACCTTATAACAAATCTAAAGTAATAATATTGTTTTTATTTTTCATTGTACATTATCAATATTCCTTTTTTATCAATAAAAATCACCATCGATCATTAGTGTTGACCATTCATGTGTGTTGACATACATAAAAGTGATGACGTGAGGTACATGTTTAATTAAAATTTTGGGTAAACTACAGAGTTTGTCATTTTTTTCATTTTTTAAATATATGGTCACTCGATTAAAAAAAATTAATTTGTAATCACTTTCGTTTTGTTTTGATCACTGAAACGTTAACTTCCGTTAGTTTGATGATGTGACACGTTAGTAAAAGGGTTTAACTTTTACTTTAACCCCTGAACTTTAAATAAATTACTAATAATGGACTTTTTAGTAGACTCAAAATAATTTAGGGACAAAATTTTAATTTACCCCTTTTTTAATATGTTTTCTTCCCCAACCCCATCTTCTTAAGCCGCACACCTCCCTCTTCTTGCAAAAAGATGAAACATGTCAAGGAATGTAAGTTCAAATATAGTCTTAAATAAGAAACATGCTTTGTGTAACCCCTTAGACCCGACTTGGACGTTATGACTGACTCTTGGAGATTACACCAATTCATATTGTTAGAAATCATGAAAATTTCAAATAACATGCAATGTTAGAAAACTAACATAAACCATAACAGAAATAAAGTTTATAAAATAAAGTATAATATGATATTAAAGTTCAAAATAAGAAAAGATGCAATATCTCAAAGTCCAAAACATAATAAAAATAGTATTAACAAATAAAGAAAATAGGAACATAATATGAAAACGTTCATACGATATCTAAGAAATATTGCTACTAGTTTATCCTCCAAGTATCAGTCGAAAATCCTAAAAGTCTAAGGGATCTGAAAAGACATAAACTATAAAGTGAGCTATAGAGCCCAGTGTGTTCTTTAAGTGCAACAAATATTGCTAGCAAATTATAAACAGTTCGACTATGTTATATAATGCAAAATAAAACACAAACAACATATATCCAGTAGATCATTATCAATATAATGTCAAAACAGAAAATGCATGCAACTTTACTTCCACTGTTGGTAAAACAAAATGGGGTCGTTACCCTTAAAAAAGGTACCTAAATTAGAATACAGAATATCAGAATGGAAATATATCCCTCCGTAGAGGATCCCAGTCAAAATCAGAATAAGGATAGCGTCCTCCGTAGAGGATCCCAAAACAGAATCAGAAATCATAATAGGGATATAACCCTTCGAAGAGGATCCCAAATAGAAACAAGACAGGGATTTAATCCCATACATAATGCAGAATCAGGATGGTAATATAATCCCATGCAGAATCATGTGTGCATCATTAAACAACTCTAAAATAATACAACCGCAATAAGAAATCAGACATATTCCAAATCATCATAATCAGAATTCAATAATGCTTATAATTAACAACACATTGTACAACATCATAAATTTATTAAAGGTATCATTCAGGTAAAGGGGACACACTTATAGTAGCAAAGCCTTAAGTTTCCCACGATCGATAGTACTAGGTCTTGCGAAATGGTGACCTAAAAATAACACATCACCCTATGAGTATAAAACCATATATCTAAACATAAATGGACCATTAAATCATTTAACAACACTTACACAAATCTCGAGACAAATGTCTGAAACTGAACTGAATTGAGTGAGGACGATCGGGATCTATCAGAGAGTAATGCGGAGACTCGAGCTCACCTTCATAACATAATAATAAGAAGTGATTCCAAAACCTAATAATTTACTTAACCTAATTAAGACTTTAAGCAATAAATTATGCAAAAGGAGACTTTTGGGTCAGAATTTGACAAAACATAACTAGGTCCTACGGAATGATGACTTAAAAATAACACATCACCCTGTGAGTATAAAACCATATATCTAAGCAGAAATGGGCCATTAAATCATTTAACAACACTTATGTGAATCTCGAGACGAATGCCCGAAATTGAGCTGAACTAAGTGAGGATGATCGGGATCTATCAGAGAGCGATACGGAGACTTGAGCTCACATTCGGAACATAATAACAAGAAGTGAGTCCAAAATCTCATAATTCGCTTAACATAATTTAGGCTTTAAGTAATAAATTATGCAAAGACTTTTGAGTCAAAATTTGGCAAAACGGACTACATAAACGGACTCAAGACGTCGAAAAACATAATAGTAGAGGTCTACGAAAAAGTCAACGAAAAAGTCAACGGTCAACGATCAACAATCAACTGTTAAAGTCAATGGTCAACTGGTCCGGTTCGATCAACGGTTCAGTTTAGCAAATGGGTTGGGTCAAACCAATTCAGGGTTAGATCCGTTCAGTCAAATCGGTTCACTATTTGAACCGCCAGAATAAAGCCCACTCTCGCACGGCGACGAGTGGGGCGTATGGAGCCTCCTTTGGTGACCAGAAAAATATAAATAAATACAAAAAATATTTTAAAGCACGGGGAGTTACTTACAAACGTCGATTTTTTTTGAAAATATTGATAGAGATAGGGTTTTTACAAAACCCGAATATTCGAACCGTCACCGGTTGCAAACGACGACGGATAACGAAAATCTATGGACACTGAAAGAATAGGGTTGACAAGACGAACACAATGACACTGGAGATAGAATCACGGCGGCCTGAATCAAGACGGATTGACAAAATACTGAATTTGAAGCCAAAAGTTTGTGAAAGAGAGGAAGATAGTGATAGCGGCGGGAATGGAAAAAAAATGAAAAGAAAGGGGAATGGGTTTCAAAATACCCTAATATTATTGGATAATTATGCTCTTAGCCCCTATTTTTTTATAAACTCACTAACCAACACTAAGTTTAAAAAAACTTTCGATTTAGTCCTAAAATCGAGATGTGACACTTTGAAGCTTATAACTCTAAAACAATAAGTGAAAAGATTACACGAACCATTAGT